AAATCCACATAAGTGGTAAGTGTGCACGTTATGCTTTGCCCACTTTTCTAAAATCCTGTATGGTAAGAGCTACGCGCAACGACTTCCTGCTCTTTCTGAGTGGTTTAAAACCCCGGTTCTGCCTTGATAGAGGACGCAGTGTCTCGTTCCCTACTCAGGGAACCATGGTTACATAAGTAACCTGAGACGTTTTCAGAGAGCTTAATACAAGGCCCTATTACATCATTGAAAAGGTCTGATTTGCATCACAGATGATTTCCTAATTGATTTATCAATTCAAAGTTCAAAAGAACAGCACTTATTTGAAATAAAAAGCTTTTGTAACATTATGAAAGTCTTTACTGTCACTTTTGATCACTTTGCTTGCTGAAAAACATAAATTTCTTTAAAAAAATCATACTGACCCCAAACTTTTGTAAGTGTCATCAAATCACTTGATATCACTTTATATCAATTATATAATATTGAGGTTTTATTGTCTGTGACATTCCAGGTGGCAATGAAGTTTGAGAGCATTCTGGAAGAGACAGATGGGTTTGGGCGATACCAGATTGCACTGGTCTTGCTGATGTATATACCTCGCATCCCAATCCCATGTCACTTCCTGCTGAACAACTTTATAGCCGCCATCCCATCTCACCATTGTAACATCAGCTCTCTGGGCTCTGAGGGAATCTTTGGAAATCTGACTCAGGAGGAGAGACTGACTGTCAGTATTCCAGTGCAGGATGATGGGACTCCTGCTTCCTGTCACATGTTCTCTTATCCTCAATTCCACCTGCTGTCAAACTCCTCCAGCCCCTCAGAGGTTGCTGTAGTCCAGTGCCAGAATGGATGGGAGTATGACAACAGCACGTTCATCAGCACTCTCGCCACACAGGTAAAGTCCAGTGACGGTGTATCCTGTAGGTCCTTCTCAGCTCTCTCACCACTCACACTTTTTCCTGTTTCTCTCTCTTTATTTTCTATCAGTTTGATTTAGTTTGTGAGAAGAGGGGACTGGCCAAAGCATCAGCAACCATATTTTTTGTTGGCGTCATGGCTGGAGCTGTGTTCTTTGGAGTGCTCTGTGACAAGTAAAATCTCCCTTTAGAAACTTTTAGACTTTTAAGACTGAAGTTCTCAGTCGGGTGGTATCCTAAGGTACAACATCTAAAACAGGGGTGCCCAAACTCGGTCCTGGAGGGCCGGTGTCCTGCAGAGTTTAGCTCCAACTTGCCTCAACACACCT